AAGATGAGCAGGAATACACTCCTCAAAGTCTTGTTTTTAGTGCAGAGAAGTGTTGAGCAGGCACATAAGTTTGACATTCAGGGTTAACTAGTGCATTTTGTATTCAAACGTAACGTCAGCGAAGAGTTGTCATTAGTGTCTGATGCATTTCTGCTCCTAAAATCAGGTATTTCATTATCTATCTTCTGAGTTTCTTAGTAGTGTGACCTACCACGGTGTTCTGACATTTGCCGAGAAAAAAGAATAACAAACTACAGTCTTCAGAGAGTGCTATTATAGCAAAATTCACAGTAGCACGATGATCAGAATAACCCACTTCTGATTAAATACAGCACACAGAAGGTTTTTACGTCAGTCAGAAGCACAATCTGTCATCTACGATAACCAAGAGCCGAAGAAGACAAAGTGAACAGTAATATAGTCATCTAGAAGAACGACGGAGGTCGTTTTACAAAATACAAAAAAAATACTTCCCAAATATTTCACCTATAAGATCACAAAACAATATATGGAGATGTGTTGAACTGTCATGTGATTTCTACATGGAGGAGGCAAATCTAAGGTTCAAATTGCATAAGTGACGGAATGACTGATGAAACAAGTGTCTGAAAATAAGAAGAAAGGCATTTCTGACATCAAAAGCGTCACAGCGTAAAGGATCTCTTATCTGTTGTGCTTCTCCTCAAAACATGTGCTTTCTATCAAAGTTTTTCAAAGTAGCAGACACCACCGAGCCTTACAGATGTTTCCAGAAAATCAAAGCGGTTCAGTGATGTTGCGGTTCTGTAGATTACATGTAAAACTATTTCAGCATGTGATATTAAAATACAGTATAGTTTATCTAGCACATACACTACATGTTACACCAATTTGGACCATACCTAGCATGGAGAAACTGTAATGAAGGCTTTTTTAACAGTCAGAAGCAGGCTTTTATTAAGGACCTCAAGTCACTCTCTTCTAAAGCAGCAGATTGAGTCAGTACAAGAATAATAAGAAGAAAAAGACGGAGATTTGGTCCTGCATAAATAAAACTTCTTGTTATGCCACTGTTATCTCTGCAAAACTCAAACGAGAACCCTTTGGCGCTGAAGTCAGTGTGGTCATGTGACTGGTCTGCGTTCGGTGCGGGGAACCCATCTGTGTGTGGTAACCTTCCAGAGCAGCGGAGCCAGCAGCAGACTGAGAGTGGTGACGCTGAGGACCAGCAGGTACACCTGCACAGAGCCAGAGAGGCAAACCAAATAAAGATCCAATAATCAGATGGCGAAATGTCATTAACACAGACTTTGAATAATGCTAATTTAACACTCTTTTGATTTATTCCACAATGATATCCCAGGGAGAGAGATGGATGTTCTTAAATGCCAAGACATCAGTGACATAGACGGTCATCCTAGTCACGATTCTTTACTTTGCAAAGATTACTGCGTCATTATAGGATTAGCTTAGATGGGAGATAAGAGGTCTTTTGGCTAAAAACTAACCAATGCTGTTGATTCTTCTTTGTAAATAGACAATGGATGATTGACACTACACATGAAGACCTGCCCAGCTACTATTCAAACCTGTTTTTGTGAGGGGCAGCCAATCAGAAGAAAACTGGCTGAAAGGGAGGGGCAAGTCAGCTACAGCTCAGAATAACATAAAAGTATTGACCTGGAACAGGGTATTATAGGTCTTGTTTAATTCTGCTTTAAACAATCATTAATAAATTATTATTTAAGGCAGAAGACGAAGCAAACAAAAGTCAAATTGAGCACCTACTATATTCTCCTCTGTCTGAATACTAAAACAGATGCCAACACTAACATAAGAGGTAATCACTGACCTCTCTGGAGATGATGCCAGCTCGACGCGCACGACTGCCCAGGACAAAGGAGAACTCGCTGACCTGAGCGAGGCCAGCAGAGACGATCCACTGTATGTGCCGAGACCCTGGAGGCAAGATTGCTGACAGCACGAGTACAGCCATCATAAACTGGAAGGAAATAAGGAGTCAAATGAAGCAGAAACTGGAGCTAGACAAAGAAAAACAAAAAACAAAGACAAAACACAGGAGTAGTCTGTACCTTCATAATGACGAGTGTGAGAGTTAGCGCCAGCAGGATGGTGAGTTCATACAGCACAAATGTCGGGAACACGTGGAAACCTGCAGCATCACACAGACACACACTTACCATTCAGTAAAGTCTCACGGTAAACAATACAAAACTAACACAACACCAAGGTCAGATCAGTCACATGATCGCGTTCAGGCTAACCGATAGAAGCAAAGAAGATGATGGCAAGGAAGTCTCTGATCGGCTCGATGCATCCCATGACCTCTGCTGTGACCATGTGACCCTGTGAGGACAGCAAAGCTCCAGCCAGGAAACAACCGAGCTCCATGGAAACATCCAGCACCTCAGTTACCTGCAGCATGAGTCAGCAAGAAAAGAACCAGCACAGACACACGACGGGTTAGACAAGAACATGAAATACATAATAAGTGAATAAAGTGAGATCTTTATCTAAAAGAAAAGGTTAAAAACAGACAGCATACTGTCAGCATGAAAAAGACAAAAGCTGCCATCCCCAGCACCAGGATCTCCCTGTTGCCTTTGCTCTCAGTGTGAAGCTTCTTGTAAAAGGGGCCAATCAGGAATGATCTGAAGAGCAAGCAGAGCAGCAGCACAGCAGCCAGCGACACCAGGACCTGGGCCAGGAGATAGAGCACGTGGAGGCTGCCATACAGAAAGCTGCGGTGCACAGAGGGAAGAGTTTACAATGCTGTGTGCGTGTTTACACAGAGCACACATGCAATAACAACAGAAGGACCAACACACCCGTCCAACTCTCCACTTTGTGCCTGGATCAGAGTCGGCATGACAGCGATGAAGAGGCCGAGCTGAACATCTTGCATCACCAACATCCCAAGGAGAACGCTGCTGTAGTCCAGCTCAGCTGCCACAAACACACAAACACGTTAATGATCACTGGCTAAGGAAAACACTCCTAGTAATCAGTATTGTATAAGTGGATGTAGTGTGATATTAAATTTGCCTACATTAAAATGTGTAAATTACCAAGAGTAATGGCATGGGAAAAGGCCTGTGGACAGGCAAGCTGGTCTTAAATGTAAAATAAATGTGATTTTTCTTCACTGTGAGCAAAAATCATTTACCGCTGCTGTGCTAGCAGAAGTCAACTCAGGCATGCAGGTCACAAAATCCTACTCAGCTATATACTACCAGAGGTAAGGGAGGATCTGCTGAATGCTGCTGTAACTGGATCTGAGGTAGGCTTAACTTTCTGGAATGTGGCCAGAAGGATAAATATAGATTTTCTCTGTTTCTTATCTTTGAAACGGAAGTAGTGAAGAGGAAAAACCAGCTAGTCACATCTTATAGCATTTAAATGCAACCTGTTCTCTTCATGTAACAGACACACACGGTCTGTTTCCCTCAAACGCTTTAAACACTCTAACGAGAAGACTTTCAAAACACTTGTGTGAAAGTGCATTCTTCTATTGTTTTATAATAGAACATAACCCCTTAGCAGGTCATAAACTAGTTTAGTACAACCGCAAGCAACGTCAGCCTCAGGTAAACAACAATACAAAATATTATACCATATCATTATTTATTGAACAAAACTACAGGAAAATGCAGAAGCAGTGTGTGGAAAAACTTAGCACACTTCCCTGCTTTAATAGGAATTAGGAGATAAGTAGCATTCAGGTACTTCTAATCAGATACATTTAACTGATCATCAGCAAGTGTGATCACCTCTATGAAAGCAGAATTTTTGTCAGTTTGTTGGTCTTGAGCGTTACTCCTGCTAAAGGTGGTTCTAAAACCTACTGAACAATGGATCACCTCATACAGCTTCTGCATTTTGGCTTCATTCTTACAAAATACACAATGACACTGTGTAATGTATCGTGTGTTATTGTTCATCTGATACTGTATTTACCTAATTTTAGGACCTGGTAATAACCAGATGATTGCTTTATTATGTCCTGACACATAAAACACAAACCTTCCTTATCTCCTCTGCTTCCTCCTGCCAGGAAGCGGGACACCAGTGGAGTGCTGGACAAGGACAAACAAGTAGAGATGAAGACAGTCTGGGTGGGTCGAATATGCAGGACTTGTCCCCACAGCAAACCGGCTCCTACCATCAGCAGACTCAAAGAGCAGGAACCCTGAACTGAAATCTTCCATACCTATGCACACATAGACAGGTTGATGACTGGATGATGACTGTCCATAAAGTAAGTAACAGAGGCTATAAAAACAAATGGTATTAAAACAACTAGACTGTGAGCAATAGTGGATTTTACAGAAACATTCTAATATGTGGTTAATAATAACAATATATATACAATAACAATAATAATAACATAATAATACATATGTGGAATTAAATCCAGATGTATCAGCCAATATTCTTCAGCATGTCCGCTGCTACTTAAACTTTTTCTAAATTATCCCAAGCATTAAAAAAACTTTCTATATTAGCACAAACTGGACAATAATTACACATGACATTGGCAAACATCAGCTACTAACATCCAATATATGTCTGCGTAGTTTCTCAGTCATCCAGGTCACTGCTGTTTAAGGAGGTTAGAAAGAAAGCGACCAGACTTCTTTAAGTTTTCTTTTAAAATCATTTCTCTTCTCATCCAAGAGGCTTCTTCACTTCTAAAACCAAAAGGTTGAGAGTCCCAGGTATTTAAACCCTTGTGCGGTCTTGTCCAGTCGCCTTCTTTTCAGCTCTAATAATATACCAATCAGGCTCTAAACCAGGGGTCTCCCACTCCAGTCCTCAAGGGCCGCTGTCCTGAAACTTTTCCATGTGTCCCTGCTGCAACACACCTGAATATGACTAGTGGGTCATTAGAAGGACTCTATAGAACCTGACTGCATGCTGAGGTGGCAACTCAGCCATTTGATTCATGTTCCAGCAGCTCATGAGTGAATGAACATGGTGCAATAAAAGTACATTATTCCAAACACTTACATTTACTTAAATTGACATGAGTAGGGTTAGGAGTTGCCACCTCAGCATGCAGTCAGGTTCTATAGAGTCCTTCTAATGACACACTAATATTCAGGTGTGTTGCAGCAGGGACGCATGGAAAAGTTTCAGGACAGCGGCCCTCGAGGACTGGAGTTGGAGACCCCTGCTCTAAACCAAACATTGAAGGACATAAAAGTATTGTTTTAAAAGTTGCTTTTACAGGTTGTGATACTGATGTTGGTTAATTCGTGTCATGCTGCACCACCGCAACACAACACACAGAACAGTTTGACCATGTCATTGGCATCAGTGCCAGACTTGTCTTTGCCTTTGCATTATTCCAAAAGCAAAATCTTCTTCATTTACCTTTCTGAGGCGCTCAGGTGAGAACTCCAGTCCGACCACAAAGAGAGTGAAAAACACACCCAACTCCCCGAGAGTCTCCACCTGAACCATAGACTGCAAGAAGCAAAGCCGAACACAGATATAAACAACAAGCACAGAAAGTAGAAAAAAAGACTGATTAAAAAAATAAATAATTACAGTCTCGCTCTCACGCACGCACTCACACACCTTGATGCTGTTGAGCCCAGAAGGACCAAGCAGGACCCCACAGATGATATATCCAAACATGGGAGGAAGACCCGCTAGAGTGCAAATCCAGCCACAGGGCAGAGACAACATCACCACTGAAACCAAGTCCTGCACATACATGTTTAAAAAAAACGTCAATACTGACTAAAAATGAAAACAAATGAATACAGAGTATCTGCTTCTGCGAGGAATGACTGACTTTGATAAAGTGGTGGTCGGCTCTCGGCATTGTTGAGTCTCGCGGTTTAGTCAGAACATACTGGTTGTTCTGCGAGTCAATGAGCATGCTCAGTCCCAGGTCATCCTCCACTTCCTTTTGCCTGGACTTGTTCTTCCTCTTGCTTCCATTCTCTTCGTCGTCTTCCACTCTCAGCACGGCCTCTACATTCACTCCTTTCATCTACACAGCACACAGCACGGAAGAAGCTACAATCACTATCATCTTCAGTTTTTGAGTAACCACAATATGTGACAGTGACTGTCTGCAGACCTGCTTGTTGTTGTCAAAGGCGTGCTCTTCGATCTCCTCCTCAAGTCGGTCGGCTGCCTTCCTGACATCCTCCAGGATCTCATCCAGGATGGACAGAGTCTTGTTCTGGGCCAAAGCGCTTTTAACAGCTTCCTGCTGATGCTTCTCAGCCGCCACCAGCTCCACGTACTCCTGTTCTTCCTGAAGTGAGATAAGAGGGGCCATGCATATGTTAGGAGAGATGAATGTAGGAAATGTGTATTAAAGATTCAGTCTTAAATTTTGAGGTCTGTAAGATGGTCATATCAACAGTTTTATATGTCTCCTATATTCACACAGGATTAACTTATTTGATAATAAATTTACATTTTGGATAGTCTTTTTGGAAGTTTCCAATTCTGCTACAGGTCTCTTCCTGTTAAAAGACAGTTTTTTTCTTTCCACTGTCACCAAAGAGCTTGCTCATAGTGGGTCATCTGATTGTTGGGCTTCTGATATTTCCCTGTCCTTTGAAAAACTGAGATACAAATAAGCTGACTTCACCTTTATGGCTGCCTCCCTGAGGGCCTCCAGCCTTTGTCTGCTGCTCTCCTTCATGTTGACCACATCCTTGTAGTCTCCCTGTAGCGCTCTCTGCAGGCTGTGCAACGCCTGGAACACGAGGTGCTCGCTCTCATTCAGCTCCTTCTGCAAAACCTCCAGAGTGTGAACCTTAATGCAGACAAACAGAAACTTGTCAATCGGTAAAATGTCTCTGGTCATCTTTCACTGAAGCCACCGTGTGCAGTGCAGTTTACAATTCTTCATCGGAGACTGGACATGACCAACAGGACAAAACAGATTGTGATGAAGCAGGTTACAATAGGATGAAGGTGCATTTTATGCGACTCTTGGCACACATCAGAAGAGGCACTTAAACACAATAAAACAACTGAATGCACACTATCCGTATATGCAGAATAAATATGTGCAGAAAGTCACATGTTGAATTTAGTTGGATGTCACAGCTCCGGGGAAGAAGCTGCCTCTTAGTCTGGTGCTGTGTTTTAGTGAGTTAACTAGAAGGCATTTCATTCAGATCGTTTCAGAGGTAAACTAGAAAAAAAAAACTTTGAAGATTTGAAGAAAGCACATTAAATTTAAATGCATTTTCAGCTTGGTCTGGTATAAAAGTCTAAAAGTGGTGCTTAGCTATTTCTCCTGTTAGTTGTTTTAATCAAACCAGTCATCTTATCGCTACATGCACAAATCATAGGAAACATGAATTATAAGCATGCACAGTCATTCTGTGCAACGGTCAGAGAGGCAAACAGTTTAGAGACCTAAAGAAGAATTACAGGTTATGCAAAAGTTAAATGTCTCTAACTCTTCAGTGGATAACAATTTGAAAGGAGCTCTTGGCTCCATCAGATTGCTTTTTCTCAGTCTGGTACCTGGAAGTGTTTCTCAGTCTCTGAAAGGCTCCGGTCTTTCCTAACAGCATCGGCAGCAGCCGCCAGCTTCTTGAAAACCACATTTTTCTGACGTAGGAGGCCCACCAGCCGCTTGCAGTTACCAGCCACCCAGCTCTGCCCGTGTGTGGCCCTGTTACTTCGATAGAGCTTGACGGCATGCTGGGCCACCTGGTCTTTTTGGACCACGGCAGATGCCCCTGCCAGGCTGAGGCACAGCAGCCAACATACAGCCTGCATCCAAAGTCCTACTCGTGTCTTCACCAGGGTGTGAGGGGGACTGAAGACGGGTGTGAGGCCTGGATATGGAAAAGGTTTTTTTAAAAAGTAAAAAAAAAACAAAATAGTATGACAGATTAAGATGGGTTGAGTGTCAATGCAAATATATCTATATATCAGCCAGTCATATGGCAAAAATTCAATGCATTTGTTGACATGGTTGAGACAACCTTCTGGAACTGAAGCTGAGCATCAAAATGGGAAAGAAATGTGATTTAAGTAATCCCCTTAAAACCAAACTACCATCTACCCATCTCCCAATGGCTCCTTCCTGTAGGATAACACACCATCTCACAAAGCGCAAATAATCTCAAACTGGTTTCTTGAACATGACAATGAGTTCACTGCACTCAGATGGCCTCCACAGTCACCAGACCTCAATCCAGTAGAGCACCTTTGGGATGTGGTGGAACATATGACTCAGATCATGGAGCCATGTGTGATGCTGTCATGTCAATTTGGACCAAAATCCCTCTTCCATGTTTCCAGCACTTTTTTTGAATATAAGCCATGAAGAATTAAGGCAGCTCTGAAGGCAAAGTGAGTGGTATTATGTGAGATACAGTGTGTACTTATGCAACCTGTATATTTACTATTGTTATACCAACAGCCTGTTCAGTCTTTAAGCAGGGTGTGGTGGCAGCTGAACATGAGGTCCGTCTTGCTAGCAGTTCTTATTATTAAGCTTCACCTTAATGTGACTGAATGCTTAACCTGTAAAAGATTCCAGAGCTGCTTCCTCTGCTGCCTTCATCAAATACGCTGCAGTATATATAGTGAGGAAAAGGATTGTATTTTAAAAAAAAAAACAACCAAAAAAACAAAACATCCAGGTTGCTTTACATTTAATCTTTAACCACACCAACACTGAATACATTCAACTCACAGCCAAGGCAGTCTGCACTGTTGTGAGCATGAGTCAAGCTGAGAGATGTTTACTTTCCAAACTCCTCCTATGTCCTTCTTCCTTTGGGCTAGGCTGCAGACGCTCTGCCACTGCAGCTAGAAATCAGTAATACCACTGTTCCGTCTTGAGCTGCTGAAATGGACAAGCACACATATGCACACACAGGTTCTCAAATTTAAGGCATTACAAACTTTAAAATAAGGTGTGTCAGCCTCAGAGAATTAAATGTAAACAAAACCAGAAGTGCAGTTTAAACATTTCCTTTCACTTTACAAAGCCTGATCTATGAAAAAAGACCACGTATACACCATGAAAAACTAACAATGTTAAATGACTATATAACAGGTTATGTATGTTAAAAATAAAACACCAATGCCATTATTATTACTGACACAGTAACATTAAAGGTTAATGTTTTATTTGGTTTCGATAGAGTAGATTTTTTTTTTTAAATATAACACATTGCTTTGTATGACAAAGTCTTTGTTGTTGTAGTGATGTAAAAAGAAATACTAAAGTAAAATGAAAATGTCCCACAGGTAATCTGCACTAAACTTTGGACTCGTACCTAAAACCTGAAGTTTTACCTTGTCAGGATGTGCATAATCGAATAAAAAAAAAAAAAACACACAAAAAATGGAGCACAGACGTGTAAATGTAAAATAAAACGGGAAGGACATTTAGCTATCCTAATAACACACACCGCCAGGTATGAATGACATACCGAGGAAACAGCACGGACAGCCAGTGAAATCACCCATTTTCTTCACTGTCCCAAACACAGATTACTCGACTCCTATGAGTGGGTATATCAGCAGAAACAGATGAGTAAAGAAATCACTACCTGCGAAATGTGTGTACTGTCCTGGCTCTCAACTCCACGACTGAAGGAGCAGCAGAAGAAGAAGGAAACAATCGTGCTGTTGTGCCGCACTACCACCACCCCTCCTCTCCTGCCACATAGCTGGAGACAGCGTCGGTGCAGGCGTTCACCGGTTTTTACTTGGCCACCAACTTCATGTTTACTCCGACCTCCGGGCCGTCGGTAGCATTGTCGGTGCAGGCAGACAGAAAGGGGTAACAATACTTTTTTTTCCCCAGGTAGGTACAAACGACCCAGTCCCTAAAACAGCTGAGTTAGTTCTAGTGTGGCTAAAGTTGAATAAGCTGTTAGGTAAAGCTAAGTTAGCTTCCAAATTGCCCGGAGCTGTCAGACCAGCTCCAGCCAGCTGAGTCCACACACACACTTGTGACACAGCCGTTAACGCTATCTCAACTTTGCTAACATTAGCAAAGAAATGACGGTCGTGTGTGTGTGTGTGTCGACAGCGGATCCCCTCCCCATTTACACCAGGTGCAACTAAAACTAAAAAATCCCTCCTCTGCTTTCAGAACATATTCCTGTAAAAAAATAAAGATCCATCTTTAGATTACTTCCGAAACATCTTTATCAGATTTGATATGGGAGTTGTAGTTCTCAGGTGTTTTGTGTTTTCGACTCGACTCTTGCCTCAAGTGCTTTTACGTTATGGCAGCGCTTCTCCGTTTTTTCTTTTATTTTTCGGTTATGACACATTTTCACTGTTGTGTAAAGTCGTATTATTTCGGTGAAGCGAGAAAAAACACCGTTAAATTAGCTCCACGCCTAGTTCTACGACCCGTCCCCCTCAACAAGGGTTATACTCACGGTGTAGTATCGCAGTAATAGAGGCGGAGTAATAATGAGACTTTTTAAGCGGTGTCAGAGACGTTGCACAATATTTAAGAATAAAACAAGTATTTTACCGAAGCGGGGGTTGTATTTTGAATTTCAGCGGTGATGAACTACATTACCCATGACTCCAATTGCCGTACAGTAGCCCAGTTCTTATGCGCATGCGCGCCTGGGGGAAATTGGATCTCAAGTTGGCCAAAACAGCGGGTGATAAAAATGGTAGGTGAGATTAAAAATGAGAACCCGTTAGAGTTGTTTATCCCCGTTTATGAGCTCCTCAGACAGTAACAGCTGTCTCTGACGCTCAGGGGTCACCGCAGTGTGCGGGGTCGGGGTGTCCGCGGCCAAGTGTCGCATCGTCAGAGGAGATGTGTGTCAGCAATGTGAGGGGAAACGGAAGGTCAGTTGTTGATGTTTTCGAGACGGGATGCATGCACTTGCGCCACGTACCTTTGCCTTTATGGGGTAGCTCGTCTGCGATGCTGACCCAGGTGAGGATACCCCGTGAAGGACCCCCCGTGCCTAGAAGGACCAGGTCGACGAGCTGTGGCCTGCCATAGTGCGTTTGCTGTTTGATCATCGGGTGGGTCAGGTCTGCAAAGACGGGCCACATGATCAAACAGCATATTCGTGGACTAACCGAACCTCGTGGCTGTGCATTTGCAAGTGCTAACATCAGCGCTGTGGCACACCTGGTTTCCAGCCTTTTACTTTTTAATTACATGCGAAGCTTAAAGTAGTGAGAGACAGCACAGCAAGTTTTCTGTGGAGTTTCTAGTGAAAGCCTCCGCTTGAAGGGAAGTCTTTGCACTCTAGTGTACTCTAATAGCACTTACCCTGTATGTTTGAATGTTGGTGTGCAGTCTGATGAGCTCCTCATGCATGGCAGGACTACCAAAGCTGGCAAAGTGGGGGACCTGTCCTCCATTACCCCAGGACTTAGAGGGGTCCAGAATTTGTAATGTTGGTTTGATGAGCATTATTTGAATTTATATGCCGCTTGAAATATTTTAATTACTTGAAAGAAGGGCCTGTGTCTATCTTGCCTTATCACATTTGATACTCTTTCCTATTTCATTTATATTTTGGCCCCTGCATTCACCTGCATCCCTCCTTACTTTCCAGCACAAGCTGAAGTCATCACAGAAGGACAAAGTTCGGCAGTTTATGTCCTTCACGCAGGCAGGCGAAAGGACAGCTGTGTACTGCCTGGCACAGAATGACTGGAAACTAGAAGTTGCCACAGACAACTACTTCCAGAACCCAGACCTCTACTACAAAGAATCCATGAAAACCTCAGTGGACCGCAAGAAGCTGGAGCAGCTCTACAACAGATACAAAGGCAGGTGTCAGGGATTGAAATTGGAGCGATCCGCTCATTCCGTCGCGCTTTTGCTCATTATTTTCGGCTGTTGTTGTAGATCCCCAGGATGAGAACAAGATAGGCATCGACGGGATCCAGCAATTCTGCGATGACCTGATTCTAGACCCGGCGAGCATGAGCATACTGGTGGTGGCGTGGAAGTTCAGAGCGGCCACGCAGTGCGAGTTCAGCAGGAAGGAGTTCCTGGATGGCATGGCTGAGCTAGGGTGAGCAGTAACTGGCTTTGAAATCTACTTTGTGATAAACTGTACTGCATTTCTGACATATGAGTGTATGTACTGTGCCGTTTGTCTCTGTAAGACGAGTCATACGAGTATTTAAGGTTTCATATTTCAGACTTGACATCATCATCATGTCCTACAGGTGCGACAGCCCTGAAAAGCTTAAGGCCATTCTTCCCAGACTAGAGCAGGAGCTGAAAGACTCAGGAAAGTTCAAAGACTTCTACCAGTTTACCTTCAGTTTTGCCAAGAACCCAGGCCAGAAGGGGTTAGGTAAGAATGACAGTGTGTAGGGAAAACACTGTTTTTAATCAAAAACATGAAGCATCCACCCTTAAACAGATTTTCTGCTTTCTAGACCTGGAGATGGCCGTGGCTTACTGGAATCTAGTTCTCACAGGTCGGTTCAAGTTCCTGGATCTGTGGAACCGCTTCCTGCTGGTGAGTGTGGGATGTTCTGTTGTCTCCCCGTTCTTTTCATTTTTGGATCAGTGGGACATTTGGGTATCTGACATGCATGAATCGATTTCCCTGACATTTCAAACATGCTTTGTTCATCTTGTTGATCTATATAAAATAAATAATCCAATCCCCCACATTGATTTTTGACAGTTCAGAGTTATGTCACCTTTAATCGAGGCTGTTTGTTTGTTGCCTTTGTAATTAAAACAAATGTTTGTTTGTTTTTTTTTATGATCACAATGAAACGTTTCCTGTTGCTGTTCTGCATTCAGGAACATCACAAACGATCGATTCCCAGGGACACATGGAACCTCCTCCTGGACTTTGGCAATATGATTGCAGATGACATGTCAAACTATGATGAGGAAGGTGAGCTAACGAGTCTGGATGAAGATGATCGGTGAACACATTGAAAGCTCATCAGTTGTCACATTAAATACGAATAATTCAGGGTGTTGTCTCTTTGTCTGCCCCTACGCCAGCACCCAAGTGACTTGAAGTACTGTGCAAATGCTTTGAGCCACCAATAATTGCTTTCTTTTGCTTTAAATGAGCCAGATTTTCTAGTAGTTCACATTTCTTAAGCTAAATCTATGATAAAGGTCAACAATAAGACAGTTTGACAGGTATAAAATTGTATTTTTTCAGCAGCTGAACAGCTCTTAGCAAGAACTGGGTATATCTCAATAGGATGTGTTGTGAATCTAAAAAAAAAAAAATGAAGGAAAGTGGACAAGTAGCGGGCAAAAGAAGTGGCAGGCCGTTAAAAACTATCTACAGCAGAGTCACTTCCTTTAAGGCCACCCTTTTATCTAACTTTTTTATCTCTAATGTCTTGAATCGTGATTTCACTACTTAAATCTTGTTTATTTATATTCCCTCTAACGTATTCCTCTTCTGCTCGCTATTTTCAGGGGCCTGGCCCGTCCTGATCGACGACTTTGTGGAATTTGCTCGGCCGATTGTGATGGGGACCAAACGCAACGTGACATAATGTTTGTCCCGGCTTCATGCAGCGGATAGAGTTTCGCATTTCTTCCTGTTTTCTTTTCCTGAATGAGGTTTTTGATACAAACGAGCCAAAAATGAGACTACTTCTAATTAAGCCTGACTGCAGCTTTTTCCATTAGGATTGTTCTTCCAACTGCATACGATGCCTCTGAAAGGGAGAGACCCGAACTTTTAAAATGGAAAGCAGGACGGGAATCAGTCAGAAAGAGAACTTTTTTTTCTTTTTTTAGTTGTTGTTTGCTGACACAAACAGCAATGTGAAGAGGATGTATATGCTCAAACCTCTCACTGACAGGTGTAAAACCACACCTGTGGACTCACTAACCAGCAGCCTCGGTACAGTGACAGCCAGAGAGTCGGTTGGAAGTTAAACTCTGCATGTTTTGTGAGCTAGTGTGGAGTGGTGCCATGATGTGTGTGTGTGGGGGTGGTGCTATTAAGGTTATTTTCACTGATGTTGTGAATGTGTTGCTCTCCAAGTTACAGTGAGAGCAGACAGAGGACGTGAGCTTGAGTGTGTGTGTGTGTCTGTGCATATTGCCTTATTTACAATACCATCCCACATATCTTTGGTTTTGTTGATATGTAAAAGTCTGGAATAATTCACCTTAAACTCCACATCTTGTGTTCGGAGATCTAGGTAAAGAAGCACGTTTGTTGAGCACCAGCAGAATCACAAAGGCTTTATCGATCTGTTACAGTGGTCTCACTTTCATTTCATCACACAAACCCCACTGAACGTCTGTCTCTGTCACTAACTGCAGGCTTTCTGTGCTGCTCCTGATAGCTCTACCTCCTGCAGAGGCTCAGAGAGGGACGTCTGTGTTCTGAATTAGGAATTACCAAAAAAGAAAAGCATCGTAAAAGGAAATGAAGTTGATGAGATAAACATGTTACTGCTGTTTGGGGCATTCTCAAGTGAGCTGAGGAGCTCACATGTGATGGCAGAGAGAAGTGCAGCAGTCAGTTAATGTGCTCGTATTCAGACTGACGCGGTCGTTAGCAGGTCCGACCTGGTTAGATTTTTGTTGCGACTTCTGTGGCTCGCTCAGGCCTGAAGCTGGCCGATTATGGAAAGGAGCTTTAGAAGAGCAAAAACAGGTCGTGGCACTTTTTTTGTTGCGATTGGTGCAAAAGCAGCATTTGCGATGCTGCAGCATTACACTTGCTGGTTTTATGTCTTGACTTTAGCAGCGATTAAAAGTACGAACACAGAGAGAAGCTGAGGGGCGCCCTTACTCTTTCCTGTCATCCCGGTGAGGATGACTTGTCACCTCTATAAACTGCACTGAAGTACACTTTTTCTGTTGTAGGATTATACATTTTTATTTAATCAGACGGCACTGTGTGGAGCATCTGAGTTATTTGCGTCTCGTGGCAGTAGGTTTATCTCACGTGCTGAAGTTTTTATAATGAAGATGTGCATCGCAGCAAGGAGTATTTTAACTGATTGTTTACATGGCTGGAGGTTGCTTTTTATAGATTTGGTTGAATTTATTACATAGGACAACATGAACACTGCTCAGGCTGCCATCTAGTGGTGGCAGTGGGCTATAGCATTTCTCACTTTTCTGTAGTTTAATGAAGACTTGAGCCTTTTAACACTTAAGAGATCAGTGCAGCAATGCTTATTATTATTATTATTATTATTATTATCATCATTATTAATAGGATTAACTGTTTCTCTTTAAGTGTACCTAAAAACACTCTACATCCCAGAGTATGGCAGAAGGTACCAGAGCTCAGGTCCCCGTCACCCTCTCCTCAGTCGGGGTGAGCTGTGTGGCTTCCTGTATTTGTCAGTTCTGGTTCTGTCATGTGTTGTCACTTCAGTTAAACCATGTGCTGAAATAAAGATAGTTATTCTCTTGCATCTGCAGCTACCTACAGGGGGAAATAACTTGACAACCTGGTTGGAAATGCTCCTATTTATGTAAACACAGTCACTCATAAACTGTGGTGGTATGTGTGTGAATGTATAATTTTCTTTCTTTTTTTTAAGTTCAAGGTAAATCGGGACTGGATTGTGGGTTCACTTCCAGACTGATTATTGCGTCACAGTGTTTGCCATTGTAATT